GGGGGGGGGCGGGTTGGGTGGTTGGAGGGGCGGAAACCGTCCCCGACGCATCACGAAACATCGTCGATCCACGTCGGGGACGATCCGCCCCCCCTCCGCGTCTATCTGCCACGAACTTAACGGCTACCATGCAAGTTTACCTTAAAGCCGTCATAGGTCCACGAACCGAACTTGAGGACGCAGGTCTGCTCGTCGAATGGGAAGTACTCCACGTCGATCTCGCAGGATGACTTATAAATGGCCGGGGGCTTCCACTCGACCAATCCTTGATGGTAGATGGTGGCCTTCGTGGCCAAGGTCACCTCGAAGTTGCCGTCCGCGCTGCGAGCGAGCACATTAGTGGTTCTGGGCGCTGCGGCGGTCGAGCTTACTTTGTACTTCCGATTCGATACCAAGCCGTCTTTTTTTTTTTTAATTTTTTTTTTAATTTTTAATTTTTTTTTTGTTTAACTTTTCTCTCTCTCTCTCTGTCGCTCTCTCTCACTCGCTCTCTTTCTCTCTTTATTTTTTCCTGTCTGTTTTTTTTTTTTGTTTCACTCCGTTTTTACTCTTGCGTGTGTCGTTTTACCCTGGCTACCCACGACGTCGTGGAAGATGACCCTTTGCGTTCGTTTTCTTTCTTTCTTTCTTTTCTTTCTTTTTTTCTTTTTTTCTTTTAGTTTTTCTTTTCTTTGCGACAGAACGCACACGCACGCACGCACGCGCGCGCGAAAAACCGCGAAACGCGACGATCTTTCGCGCACCGGCAGCAAGCCCGGCGAGAAACGAGAGAGCGAAACTTGCACGGGGGAATCCGTTTCGTATACACGCGGTGGACGCGGAGCTTTCGAGCGGTTTCGAGGTGTTCCGTCGCAGAGGCGTGAGCAAATAACAAGCGTGGCGCTTTGAACATCGCTCACAGAGAGCCATCGGTCGAGAGCAAACTATCTGAGTGTCGCTGTTGCAGAATTTCCGAGTGTTTACTTTTCTTCTCTCTCACACATACATTCACTCATTCTCTCTCTCTCTCTCTCTCTCTCAGTTTTCGTTTTTTCGTCGCATTGATATAAAGGAACTCCGTGGCTTTCACCCTGATTTCGACTCT